TGTTGTGTGAGATGTATAGAACTGTGCTTCATGTAGTGCATTTGTTGTGTGAGATGTATAGAACTGTGCTTCATGTAGTGCATTTGTTGTGTGAGATGTATAGAACTGTGCTCCATGTAGTGCATTTGTTGTGTAAGATGTATAGAACTGTGCTCCATGTAGTGCATTTGTTGTTTAATTATGTATGTGACAGAAAGGTAAGTTACTAGGTAGATTTTTTTTTAAACATTGAGATTTAGTTAAGATGTTTATGAGTTCGCACATAGAAAATAACAATGTGCTATTGTGTTAAGACTATTACCATTGGGTATCATAAAACCTTAAAACTATAGGCTAGACCTAGAACAGCAAAAAGCAACTTTGATTATTTAAATGAGACTGAAAATTACATACTATGAAAGACATAAAGAAAACAATAAAATAACTGTTTTGCCAAGCCACGTAGTTTTAACGTGAATGATAGATATTACGTCACAATATAGTTAAAATGTTATATTTGTAGTATGACGCTGAAGTAAAGGAACAGTTGGCAACAAATAAGGTACAGTTAAGATGTTATTATACACTCTTCTGGCTGCTACTGAAACCTATATGACTGGATCAGTAAATGTTGGTGTGATTTAAATTATTATCGGTTCTATTATGATGTTAGGCGCTGTCAACTAGGGCTTTCTACACCATAAAGGCTTATTATTTTATATTTACAAATGTCTTTAAGCGTGGTAAACCTAATTCTTAAATAGGGTTACAAAAGTGTCCGAATAGTGGTAAATGTTTTATCTTTAGTAGTAAATTTTAAATAATAGTAATTAAAAATTGGAAAGAATCTTACCATGAAAGCTTTAAGATTGCTATTTTGTTTTATAGAAACATATAAAACTTGTTTTTTTCAGATTTCTCAAACATAACCATTAATTAAGAAAGTAAGCGATATTTGAATTTATGTATGGTACATACCTCAAGCAATTTACGATTTAAAACGAATTTTGTGCACAGATAATATTTTTGAATAGTATCACCATGTATGTAATATGCATATACATTTATGTACACATGGTCTGGTATGGCGTGGTTGGGGCATTCTATTCGCAATCAGGTTCGCGAGTTCGCCAGTCATCGAACATACTCGTTCTTTCAACCGTGGTGACGTTATGGTGTGACGGTCATTCCCATTATTCGTTGATAAAGGGAAAGCCCAAGAGTTTGCGGTGGATGGTGTTCACTAGCTGCCTTTCCTCTAGTCTATCACTTTAAAATTAGGGCCGGCTACCGCAGATATCCCTCGAATATATTTGGGGAAATTGAACAAACAAACAAAGAACAAACTTGTGCGCCCGGCATGGCCAGGTGGATAAGGCGCTCGACTCGCAATCTGAGGGTCGTGGGTTCGAATCCCCGTCCCACCAAACATGCTCGCCCTTTCAGCCGTAGGGGCGTTATAATGTGACGGCCAATCCCACTATTCGTTGGTAACAGAGTAGCCCAAGAGTTGGCGGTGGGTGGTGATGACTAGCTGCCTTCCCTCTAGTATTACACTGCTAAATTAGGGACGGCTAGCGCAGATAGCCCTCGTGTATATTTGGGGAAATTGAACAAACAAACAAAGAACAAACTTGTGCACACCATGAAAAAACCAACTGCAGTATGATCGGAATTTGTATTCATTGCCATTATTATGGTTAGTAGGTATAAGAAAAGAAGATCATTAGTATAAAGGTAATGTTTAATTTGCATAAAATGAAGAGAAGGGGATGTATTGAAAATATTATAAAGTAGTTTTGTCTTGTCATAACTAAAGTGTTATAAATCTCCACTATTTTCATTTGCAGTAGAAGCTGAAAGAAACGGTTAAAAGGTTGAGATGGAAGACTACACATGTTATAATAACATGTTGCACAAGTATTGTCACTTTAGATGCTACTCAGATTCTTAGTGTTAATAAATGCGTTTTAACATATGATTAAAGGCTGTAACTTGAAAGTACTTTCATCGTAAGAACTCTAGAGCTAGTGACGCAGCATAGGTTAGCGAACTGATCGGTTGTACATGTACAAGTGTACCACGTGTAGAAATCTTAGTACTGGTACTTACGATAAGGTTGTGATGATTGGATATTAACCGTCATCATGGCAGTAGTCTATGCGATCATTTAAGACTAGTTATTAATTAGTTGCTAATATTTCTTAATTATTAAGTAGTTTTTATCCTACATTTCGGCTCCTATAAATGAACCTTCCTGGTCTGGTTGTTGAAAACAGTGCTTTGATCCACTGTTGATGGAAAGGATACTACTGTGACGTACGTATCTGAGTAACTGATATCTTTATAAGTGCCAACCACCACCCCTTGACCATACGGTCATAGGCCCTCGAGAATAATACATGATATGTAGGCCAATAAACTTTTCACGTGTTAGTTATCTTGCCACCCCTCCTCTTCCCCCTGGAAAACTCTACACATCTTCATGAGATGTCATTGCCACAAGTACTGTATCTTCATTTGGCTTAGCTTCTGATACAAGCCTTAGGACAATTACCAGGAACTAAAATGAACACTACTCGTAAATCCCAAACGACACTTTCACAATTTACACTAAAGTCTGTTCAAACTGCAATTGCACGAGGAATAAATGTTAGAAAAACATTCAATAAAATCATAAGGTTGGTAAATATTTCAATTTGGAAAACTGAGCGCAATACACCAAAACCATGTTTCTCCTGAATGTAGTGCTGAACAGTTACGTACTTTCAGCACACTCCTAACATTTTAAATTTTACAAACTTAACATATTTTCTCTTAAGCTCATTTCATATATTGACATTTTTTTCTGACCAAGTTATTTCTTAATTGCCTAAATGTTATCACTATATTTTATTAAAGTATGTAATGCAATGTACATGAACAAATTCATACTTGATATCATAATACGAGTACATCATACAGAAATAATGTTCATTCATATGTAAGGCACATAGCAACTTACACGTGTTCTCATGCAACGATTTATAATATTCTTCCTTTCAACTTGTAAAGTATTTAAAATTATACGCTTTTACACGTCAATGTCGAAAATGAAAAGAAGCAGAGCTCAAAAGTATTGAGTCTTACGAAACCGTTACATTAAATTACATATATACCAGCATCACTTATTATTGTGTGTGCCTGACAAACTGTCCGATGACCTGTGTATGTACATAACCTAAGTTATGTTCTGATATTTGTGTTACCACTATCGTACTATACACCACCTACAAACCGATAAGCTCGATAGACTCAGTGTCACAGACAGAATTCAACTGAACCAGGACTTTTCAGCCCAACCTGAATCAATAGTCGTGCTATCCATAATAGCATACATCAATATACGACCAGACTGAAGCAGCATA